GAAATGTCATGACCTATGTTTCTCAAGTTTATCTTTAAAATGTATGAACCTCTATTTTCCTACCAACTATGTCCAAGTTAGTCTCAAGACTGATCACAATGCCTAGCCCATATGAAATATTCAATAAATATTTGGTGAATGAATAAGGAGTAAATGGTGTGACATATCTTTAATAAAAAATTTTGGAAAAATCAGTATTTTTAAAATATCAATCTGTTCCATGCCTTAGATATAAACCAACATAGTCATCATTAAAAAATTATCATAGGAAAAAATTCTTTTTTTTTTTTTTTTTTTGAGACAGAGTCTCACTCTGTTGCCCAGACTAGACTGCTGTGGCATCAGCCTAGCTCACAGCAACCTCAAACTCCTGGGTTCAACCAATCCTTCTGCCTCAGCACCCAAGTAGCTGGGACTACAGGCATGCACCACTATGCCTGGCTAATTTTTTTCTATATATTTTTAGTTGTCCAGCTAATTTCTTTCTATTTTTAGTAGAGATGGGGTCTTGCTCTTATTCAGGCTGGTCTTGAACTCCTGAGCTCAAATGATCCTCCTGCCTCGGCCTCCCAGAGTGCTAGAATTATAGGTGTGAGCCACCATGCCCAGCCCATCGAAGAAAATCTTATTTAGGCATTTTCAAGGATTATATTGAAATCTTATCTCAGTTTTTAAAAATCATATTAAAAATAGGAAGGAAAGACATAAGTTGGAAAATATGTGCAGAAAATTTAAAGAGCTAAGTGTTAATCATATAGTCTATTAAGAGTTCATACAAATTAAGAAGAAACTATTAAAATTTCAAAATACAGTTAAGCAGAAGGTGCAGACAAACAAGAGAAAATATAAATAAACATAGAGAAAGCGTTCAATATGGCGACCAGAAATGAAAATTAAAACAAATTAATGTTTTATATCAATAGAAAATAATAAACATCTTTTCTGATTCTAGAAAATATACAAAAAATGGTCTGTGCAAATATTCCAGGGGCAATATAAAGTGTTAAGTTTGGTGAAAATAATTTTGCAAGTGTATAAGAATTCTCTCATAATTCATATCTTTTCCTTCAATGGTCCTATCTCTAGAAATTTATCTTTCATTACTTCTAGAAAAAGGAAAAGCAGATTACACAGAGGTCAAGGATCATTATATAAAAACCTCAAAATATCAAAAACAAATTAAAATGTCCAACAATACAAAAATTATAGGCCATATTATAGCAATTTCACTTAAAGGAAATATTCTCTAAATATTAAAAAAAAATATTACAAGGACTACTAAAAATCACAGAAAATTATTGATATAAAGTGGCAAATGCTAATTAAAATTCATCTTTGCTACAATTATATATAGTGTAAAGAAAAAGTTTGTGTATAGTCTAGAATTAACAAAAAAGAAGTAAAACAAAGAGTCTAAAGGGGTGAAATTTAGGATTCTATGATGTTAACCTAGTATTATTTATGCAGTAAAAAGAGAAAAAAAATCCTTAAGGAAAGTTTAACTTTTCTGAGAACTTTCAGACCTCTGACTCAAGCCCCAATTTATGTTAAGGCCATCAAATACAGACCTATTCAGTGAATACTCCAATAAATGTATGGCTGGGGAAGGGAGGTTTTCCTTAGGTCAGGGTAATTGGGTCTCTGGAATACACAGAAGCCAGGGACTTTATCCCTAAGGAATCCTAAGTTTTTGACTTACAACCCTAGGGACTAAAGAAGTTTGTAAAAATAAGTGCTGAATTTACCACCTTCAAAAGAAGTTGAGTCTCCCAAGTAAGTGTCGACTTAAGGACAAGTTATGGAAAAACTAGAGTTGCATCATTAGGCTTAATATGTTTTATTTCCTTGACATGCTCTTAAGAAGATACAGGTACAGATGAATTGCCTTATTATAGCTATCTTTTCTCACATTCTTTAATTTTTTTTAAATTTTTTTTAGGAAAGAGAAGACACTGACTTTCAAATTGAGAGTCTTCTGATCTCATCAGAAAACTGTAAATGAAATTCAAATTCTGGGAATATTTCCTTTTACTTAATACCATGAAATAGTGTGGATGAGTTTAAAATCCAGTAAGGAGGTAAGATAAAGAGAGACTTTATTGTAATTATTTCAGAATGAAAACATCCAAACTATATATATTCTTAGTTAATGTGGTCATTGCCTGTGCTTTTAAAAAATATGAATATATATGTTAATGAAAAAAATACAAAACTCTAGGCACCACCTGCTAAACCAGGATATTTTAATTTTTTTAATTTCAATATAGCCCCAATGGTCTGCAATCTGTTTTGAGATACGATTAATTCATATGAGGAAAAGAAAGTTGCGTGTAATGTAACAAACCTTATAAATAATAGGCTAATGACTATTATATTTAAGTATGTGGTTCACTGGAGTCTCAAGCACCAGTCATCTGGAGAAAGAGTACATGGTGACTTACATATTATTCATATATAAAATATGTCCAGTAAGGGTTTGAAAAAACATATAACTAAAAGTGTTTATGGTAAAAATAGGATTAGAAACAAATAATATGAAAAAGAAGGGAGAATTATAAGTGTTAGTTTGAATCCCAGGCAGCCAAGGCAAAAGAAAAAGTATTAAGATCTTTTTTTCAGTTTTCATTAATATAATAAATCAAATTCTACTACACTAGACCTTAATTCCCCAAATATTCCTGAAAGGAATTTTGGGTAGGTTTCGTTTGAATTCATTATTGTGGATAATATCTTTATAAGTGGTTTTCAAAAGAGGCAAATGTATCCTTTATGTGCATAATCATATCATGGACCCTGGTTGAAAGCTCAGTGCATCTAATTAAATTACAGTGCTCTAAAATTTTTATTCTGTATAAATAAGTAAACTGTGGTATAGTGGTAAAAATGATGGGGATTTGGGAATCATAAAGATAAGAGTTTAAATCATAGTTCTAGCACTCTGACATATTGAAATTTTTCCTTAACCTTTAAATCTCAAATTAACTTTCTCATCTGTAAACAAGTCACAGTAGTAGTTGGATTACTTTGAAAATTAAATGATAAAAATTATATGAAGTGCCAAATAATACATACTAAGAGCTCACATGTTGTCAATTACCCTTTCCTTTGTGAGCTAAAATAATACATCCTTCCACGTGGTATATTAATTAAAGATTAGAGTTTACAAAATCTATAAATTGAGAGTTGGCATGCCCACTAAACTTTGCACGCAACGTCAATGGTCTTAATTGATCTCTTTAGAAAAGCTAGAGAAGATTACAGAATTGAGATTACAGGATTGTTTCCCCTAGTGAGTATTCAGGATATGGATATTATATGTTTTTCAGAAAAAAAATTTATTACTTTAAATATTACACTTTCAAGTAGCTAAGTTAATAAAGCAAAACAAAATAACTTATAGAAAGACATTTTTAGAAAGTTAGAGAGTTTAACTTCTGGCTTGAATTAAAAAGGCACAAATTTTGCTTAGTTCTATCACAACACTAAAGCAGTGCCCTGATGAAGCCCCAGAGTATCGAACCAGAGGGCCTATTTCTTACAAAAGCCAGGAGTTGGGAGACAAGGATTAGAAGATGGCTAGGATTCAGGCTGGCTTAGAGACTTTTACAAATATGCATTTCATCGTTCACAAATTCTATTCTAGGCATCTATAGTTTGCCATCTCTTTTGAGATCATATGATCAAGTCAGGAACTCAAGCTCTTTATCTTGATGTACTTCCTGAAAACAATAAAGACTGTTACCTGGAAAGTTTTGAGTGTGGATAATATCTTTGCATTACGCTTGCAATGTTAGTGTAACTTTTCAGAAGCAAACATTTTGAGTGTAGGGATTATTAATGTTCTAGGTCCACTAAAGAAACAGTGGGTTCCTGTGGATATAGTACTAGAAAGGGCAAGTCATGCACAGTGTGCAATCTCTAGATTCCTAAGACAATCCTTGTACTATCTAAACTGTTTTAACATTTTGTATTCTTAGTTCATCTTTCTAACATAATTATAAACATCTGTTTCAGAGTTTTTTGATTTGATTATATTTTTTCTTTATGTATATTTATTTTAGAAATTTGGATAGTTCAGAAAAGTAGGGGAAAAAAAAACCTATCTAAAATAACCATTAACATTTTGGATATTTCTTTCCAGCCTTTCTACGCTGTCTAGGTTATCTTGGTTTAGATTTTGGTTTTGCAAACAATGCGGGACACTGTTGTTTTGTTTCTGTTTTCGCTTGATCATTTTAAACATAAGTTAAATATTACTTTTGTGTTCATACAAATTCCACATAAATATTAATAGGAGCAATAATGGCCCATCAAGTACATGCACTATCATTATTTAATGATTCCCCTTGCATTAGACAAGAATAAAAAGCTGTTTTAAAAGATAATCGCCAATAATAACGAAGATCTGGTAAATATGGAATTATTTGATACTACAAGTCCCTTAGAAAGCGAAATATTAGAAACTATCCAGAGTCTTAACAATCTTTATTCCCTGTTTGTTCCAAAATAGGTTCCGGGAATACACATTAGGGACATAAACCTAAATGGAGAAAAACCTTCAGGCACAATGAAATTCAACAGAGTGTATGTTGATTGTTTCTTAAAAGTTACACTAACATTGCAAGAATGATGCAAATAATTTACTTTATATTGTTAATTACCCTTTTTTCATTTGAAACCATGAAAGCAAGTTGGTAGTTTCTCTTATAAATAGTTACAAGTGAAATTTTCATGGCAGCAACTATCTCAGGGCCGTTAGGATACCAAATATACACCATAATTATTTTCTAAAATTAACTGTCAAATAGGAATCAAGCTACCAGCGTAATTACTATGTGCCTTTAATCATGGCATACTAGCTCCTAGAGATGAGTCCCAAACCCTAAACTCGCCTCTGTTACCACCACTCCACCTAGTTCTGACACACTTGCCCCTCCCATCCCAATTATGTCTCACTTCATATGATAACATTGTACAGTCTCGTTAAACTCCAGGTATAAATGGAAAGGACCAATTGGACAGAGATTGAGTTCATACTGCAGGGACTTTCTGAGTACCCGAGAGCTGAGAAACTTCTTTTTGTGGTGTGCTTGGTGACGTACCTGGTCATCCTCCTGGGGAACAGCACACTGATCACCCTGACTCTCCTGGATGCCCGCCTCCACACCCCCATGTACTTCTTCCTTGGCAATCTTTCCTTTCTAGACATCTGGTACACATCCTCCTTTATCCCCTCAATGCTGATACACTTCCTATCTGAGAAAAAAACCATCTCCTTCACTAGATGCGTTGTTCAAATGTCCGTGTCTTACGCTATGGGATCCACAGAGTGTGTGCTCCTAGCAGCGATGGCCTATGACCATTATGTGGCAATCTGCAACCCTCTGAGATACCCCATCATCATGAACAAGGCCCTTTGTGTGCAGATGGCAGCTCTCTCCTGGGGACTAGGCTTTCTCAACTCATTGACAGAGACTGTTCTTGCAGTACGATTGCCCTTCTGTGGAAAAAACGTCATTAATCACTTTGTCTGTGAAATACTGGCCTTTGTCAAGCTGGCCTGCACAGACATTTCCTTGAATGAGATTATTATAATGTTGGGCAATGTCATATTTTTGTTTTCTCCATTACTGCTGATTTGTATCTCCTACGTTTTCATCCTTTCTACTGTTCTAAGAATCAGTTCAGCTGAAGGAAGGAAAAAGGCTTTTTCCACCTGCTCAGCCCACATGACAGTGGTGATTGTGTTTTATGGGACAATCCTCTTCATGTACATGAAGCCCAAGTCCAAAGATTCTACTTTTAATAAGCTGATTGCCCTGTTCTATGGCGTGGTCACCCCCATGCTCAATCCTATTATCTACAGCCTGAGGAACACGGAGGTGCATGGAGCTATGAGAAAACTGATGAGTAGACACTGGTTCTGGAGCAAATGATGGCACACTGACACTTCTGAGTTTCTGCACAATATAAGCTCACAAATTTGATGCAAGAATTTTAAAGATAAACAGAACAAAAGAATCGAAGGTCATATATATGGAGTCATAGAATTTCAGACTCAGAAAGAAATCTGAACATTAACAGTTTAATCACTGTTTGAAAATGACTGTGATCTCATAAAAACATGGGGACAAGTGGTCTAAAAAGTGAGAGTAAAATTTTATAAATAAGAAAAATATTTTAATTGAGACTCTCTAAGAAAATCCAGCCTGTATGTCTGCTTAACCAAACATGTTTTTTCAGCCCTCTCTTTTGGAAAACTATTTCACAGTTTTTTTCATTGTTGTTTTATTCTTGCTTTTTTCTTTTATCCGGGGATTTGATCCGGCCCCAACCTTCATACACAACTACATATTTCACCTTCTTCCCCTGACCATCCTAAAATACTTTTGCACATGCTGTGTTCCAATGACTGTGTCATTACGTAGTTATATCATCTTCTTTCACACCTAATGACAATAGCATATGCTATTTCATCTGCATTTTCACATTTCTCCTTTTCTGATGAAATTCTAACAATTTCATAGAAGACAGGTCAAGTGTTCTATCTTCTGCAACAGCATCCAAAATTTTCCCTGAGTTAGTTATTCCCTCCTCTGTGCTGCCTTGACCTTTATATCTCCTCTACAGCAATTTTCCTTTTATATTATAATCATTTGTTAGCTTCTGAAATCTTTCCAGTGGCTCGCTGCTCTCTGTATAAAGTCTAATGTCAAGCTAATTAAAAAAAGTTGGCAGTAATTTACTGTTTAATTAATTGATTAAAAATTTAAAAGGACAGTGAAATATGGTTCAAGTATCTCACTTAATACAGGGTGATAAGAGAACTGGAATTTATGTATTATTTCATTTACCAAATGATAATTCTAAAATATTTTGGTAAAATAACAGCTAATTTTTTTAATTAGGAAAAAATAAGGGAAGATAAACATTGAATAATCTCAAGAGTTCACTTGAGCTGAGCTAGACAAAACCACAGTGTATATCATTCTCTAATAAGCAACTGCTGAAAAAAATATCAATTGTATAAATTCTTAAAGGACACTCATAATTTCACTCTTTCAGAGATGATAATCTTATTTTAAATATTTTCCTTTCATAAAAAAAAACCCTTGAAATAATGACAAGTGAGTTATAATATAAGTTGTACTCTTTGTAAAATATCATACATCTGTATATACATAATCGAGCTGCCTGGCACAATGTCATAGCCTGAGCTGGGTGAGGATGACATCTATGCTCACCATCCACCGGCAAACGTTCTGGTAACCCAACAGTGTTGAGGACAGCATCTTTACTTGCTCTGGACAGCATGATATTTTGGAGCCTGGGTGGCATAAGGGACATACCAACATGGAAGAATGGCTCAGTTCAGGCTGTCAGAGCCCAAGCAGAATAAAAGGCACATACACACAAGACACGGGTGTGGATCCCAGCTCTTGGTTGAGCATGTCCCAAAAAAAGAGACTGCAGAGAAAGACTGCAAAGGAAGGCTAACTGGAAGAAGATATTAGAACACAAGTCGGGTAAGGAAGATATATGCTCAGCAGGGGGAGGAGTTGGGCAGATGGTGGAGTGAGCTGTCAGAGCCCTAATGGGGTGAGGAAAGCATCCACAGGGGGAAAGATTTACAATATGAGTGCCCAAGTCTGAGGAGGGTGAACAGAAAATCCCTGAAGAAGGACCTAAATGGAATGACAAGGGCACAACTAAAGAGGGGAAAAAAGGTGTGTCAGAACCAGATCAGGGTGAAGGGGACAGCCTTGCCTGAAGTGTCAGAACCCAAGCAAGTTGAGAAGGACATCTGTGGGGACAGTGGGGTGAGGGACATACATTCATGGTGGAGTTTGAAGCAAAAGAAATAGAAGTTGGTTACACATAGAGGATCCAGCAAGTAACAAGTAAACAGCCATATGTCTCACTGTCAAAACGAGTTACAAATACCAGGAAGGAAGAAAACAGGAATAAACCCTATGCTGTTGAATTAGAATTGGAGGTATCACTGTGAATGCAAGGTTTTAAGGTTTTCAATAGATGTAGACAGAGAGTGATATACACATACATATAGGAAGATAAACAGGAAAATGATAGCAAGATATAGGTATAGAAACTAATATGAATGTAAATGTGTATAAGTTTATTTCCTAGATTCACTGATAGGGCCTAGGAGCAGTGACATGCCAATAACCATTGTACACCTAGTACCAGATCTTAGTTTCTAAATACAGATCTCTACTAAAAGGAACCAGGGATAGTTCTAGAAATAGTGCAGGGAAAGATCAAGATGGGCCTGGAATATCTCACTGTCACTTTCTTATGCCAGCATAAAAGTGCTCAAAAATTGTGGGAAGTGTGTCAAAGGATATATAAGCCAGTTTTTTTTTTATTTTAGCATATTATGGGGGTACAGATTTTAAGGTTTCAATAAATGCCATTTTCCCCCTCCCCCCAAAAGTCTGAGTCTCCATCATGACCATCCCCAGACGGTGCACATCTCACTCATTATGTATGTATATACCGCCCCCTCCCCTCCCACCTGCCCAATACCCTATTACTGTAGTACCTATGTGTCCACTTAGGTGCTACTCAGTTAATACCAGTTTGCTGGAGAATATATCTGGTGCTTGTTTCTCCATTCTTGGGATACTTCACTTAGTAGTATGGGTTCCAGCACTAACCAGGAAAATATAAGATGTGCTATATCACCATTGTTTCTTAGAGCTGAATAGTACTCCATGGTATACATATACCACATTTTATTAATCCATTCTTGGATGGATGGGCACTTGGCTGTTTCCACAGCCTTGCAATTATGAATTGTGCTGCTATAAACATTTCGAGTGCAGGTGTCTTTTTGTAGAGTGTCATTGGATCATTTGGGTAGATGCCCAGCAATGGGATTGCTGGATCAAATGGTAGATTCACTTGTATCGCTTTAAGGTATCTCCATATTGCTTTCCACAGAGGTTGAACTAATTTGTAGTCCCACAAGCAGTGTAGGAGTATAGAATTTTTTTATTTCCATCTTGATTTGGAAGAAAAGATTTTTTAATGTTAGTTTTCTTTAAATTTTAGATTGTTTCTAATGATAGTATCAAGTCTACAAGAATTCAATAAAAATTAGCTATTATTTTTAATTATCATCTTATCACAAGTTAACACTATCCTACTATAATGTTAGGGACTGCCACCAGAAACAGATTCTTCATTTAATGATTTCCTTAATAAAGGGCTCCTTCCACCAGAGTATTACCTTGTAACAGATATTTTTTGTGTGGGGAGCATTAAAACAATCAAGATCTAATATACTGATGAGAAAGAAGAAAATTATGACTTCTTTGTTATTGTGAGCTGTATGATACTCTTTGGTAGTTAATTTTATGTGTCAACTTGACTGAGCCATGGGATGCCCAGATAGCTGGTTAAACATTACTTCTGGGTATAACCATGAGGAAGTTTCCAGAAGAGATCACCATATGAATTGGTGAACTGAGTAAAGCAGATGCACTTCCCCATTGTGGGTGGGCATCAATCAATCCTTTGAGAGTCTAAATAGAACAAAAAGGAAAAGGAAAATTGCATTAACTCTGACTGCTTGTGCTGAGACATAGATCTTTTCCCACCTTCAGCACTCCTGGCTCTTAGGCCTTCAGACCTGACCTGGAATCTACACCATTGACTCTCTGGCTCTCAGACCTTTGAACTACACTACCAGCTTTCCTAGATCTCCAGCTTGCAGATGGTGGATAATGGGATTCTCAGCCTCCATAATTGCATAAGTCAATACCTTATAAATTTATATATATGTATATATATATATATTTCTTCATATATATGTATACATGTGTATATAAATGTATAAAATCTATTGGTTCTGTTTCCCTGGATAACCCTGACTAATACACTGCCACAATTCACAAATGCAGATTCATAGGAGCTGTGATCTCCCAGGCAAAATGAATTCAGTTCTTCTTTCCAAGGAGACTTCTAAAATGAAAGTCATGGGCTTATCAGCAGCAAACTGATGAGGTGAGGAATAGTATGTTGTGGTAAACTAAGAGACAACTTTGTACCAGAATTAAGTGAATTTGAATTCAAGATGTTTAAATAGTCTATATGACTGAAAGTATTTTACTAACCTCTGATTTCTGTTATCTATAATAATAATATATTTACTTCATAGGTTTTTTGATGTTGAAATGATAACAAGCTTATATTAAATTTATATCTAGATATATATAGATATATAGAGAGAGGTCTCTGTGTGTGTACGTATACATGATCTCCCAGCACTTTGCCTAAGATGCCCTCATGCTCCCCATTCCCTAGTTATTCTCCCCAGTTCTCAGTGTTGGAAGAGAGTAATATGAGCTGGCTTACTCAGACCACTAAAAGCATTGCTGTTATTCTTTGCTTGGGCTTCTACTGCTTCTCTGAGAACCTCATGTGTATTGCTTGCTGAATCTTTATCCATTCTGGTCAGTAGATAGTCCAAAGCATTTCCACATATGCTGGGTTCCCATGCATTGCTTAGTCCTTTTCTGATCACTGTTTCTCAATAGAAGACCTTATATATCAGGCCTCAGTGAAAAAATCAAATTATCTGGAAAGAGCTACTTCATCTTCTACCCTTCTTTTCTCTATATTTCTGTAGAGACTCAGAAACAGAAAACTCTTATTCTTAGGATTAAAAAGGTCAATTAAAATCTTCTAGAAACTCTGCCTCAAAGTTTTCCTGCATATGCACAGAGTGTGTAGAATGCGCCCCTCCTTCTGCTGTAAGGCTGCTTCCACACTTCCTTTGGTGATTGTACTTTTCACTTTCACCCTAAAATATGGTGGACCTGAAGGCTACTTACAAAGTTCACTGCTGTCCACAGCTAATGCCGTTCTCTGACCTTATATCTAGTCATGAGTAACCCACACCAACCCAGCC